TCATCCAAGACCCATTTACCAACTTTAGGGAAGTTGGACAAATAATTTTCAGGCTGCATTTAGGCCTTTGACTCAAGAAAAGGTCCAGATCATCTGTTTCGTTTATAAAATCATCCCTTCCTTGTTTGTGTGCATCTTTTTGTAAATAAAAAATGAGTAGCCAGTGTGAGCATTCTTCCTAAACTTGGTTACTTTTCTGAAGGTTAAATAATTTCTACAATATAAAAATGAATACTTTTGAACTCAAAATGCTCAGATGGTTGCTAGATTAAGAATGCATCTTAACTTGGAAATGGATGAAATGAAGTTTTATTTAGAGAGTTCAAAATGCTTGCATTTTTGAATGTTACTCAAGTAACCACAAAACATATAAAGAATTCTTTATTTCCAGATTTGAAACAACTGAACAGTACACAGCTCTTTGCAGATGCCAACCTAAACGTGTCAGCCAGATGTTTTTTTTCCCTAACCTAGTTCAATTAAAATATTTTATGAAGGACCACCCATGGAAAATAATTAGGAAATAAAATAAATAATTATGTGTACTGTAACTGAGAAAATAATGAATCCTTGGATCTTAAAATATAACAAGGAAATAGAGGATGAATTTGATACCTATAGAAGACAATGACATGCCACAGTCTCCTCCTAGTAGACAAATTATAGGAACTGGAATATCAGCAAGACATTAAAATGTAGATTGTAGGACACAGAGAAAAGAGAATATATAAAAGATCTGCTTACCTCTGAAATAAAAATTAGGTGTTCTTTAATTAGCCAAGGAGCTGACACTGATGGGAGACTCAAACACATTAATTACTTGAGCTTATACAAGTTAGTTGATGTTTCCTTCTTCTTCATGATATTGGATATCGGCATAAAAAGAACAGTACCTGTATTAAAAATATCATTAACGAAAGTTCTCACTTTTGTGGGTAAGCCAACATATTTCCTCATGTAATATGAGTGCTGAATGATACACACGAATGCAAGGGCAGAAATTCTCCCCACCCCTGAGTCCAGCCCCTTGTTATTGTGGCAACCACATCCTGTAATTGCTACTATAAACTTCTAGTCTTACATGTCTGCTCGTGTAGACCGAGTGCTATATAAATATGCACTGTGAAAAAAACAGCCAACTCTTTCAAGAGTGAGAATAGTATAAATTAATCGGATCTACTTGCCTTACATACGGGGGAATGGCTGTCAACTTCTCCATCTGCATTTTGATTGCAAGAATAAATTAACCAACACATTTTGAACAAATGGAATGGAGTATGAAACAGATGGATCCTCTGATATTTAGATGATTTATTTCAAAAAGGCATTTAAAGGCCAACCTGTATCATTAATACATAACCTGCAGAAACAGTGACTCTAGAAGTTGCACAAGGTGATTTGACATCTTATCCTTTCAGAATCCCAAGCCTCAGAATATTCCAAACCATGTTACTAACTATATGCTACAGAAAATCAGGATATGAATCCTAAAAGTTATACTGAACAGGTAAGTTACAAACTACCATAAATCATTATATTGGTATAAAATAAATAAACTGCGACAATTAGGAAAGGGAACTGCAACAGAGGTTTTTCTAGAGCTACTAAAGGAAGATGTGAGCTTTGTCAAGATGATACAATAGCTTATAAAAAGGTTTTGTTGCTTACATTTTCCATCTCTTGATGTGTCATCAAATAACAGAGCTTGAGCTTCAGTTATCATAAAGAATCTTCAAAAGTTCGAAAATGCAACACTGCTGTTCTCTGAAGCCAAGATTGTCACGGTTCGTTTGGATCTCTCAAATTTACAGGACAACAAACTCTGTAAATTACTTTATGAGCTTATTAGGAAAGAAAATAAACACGCACATCAAACAAGGGCAATCGTCTTTGTCTAGACTAGTCTAACATGTGAATTCACTAATTCATCCCTCAATTCAAAGGTTTCTAACTCACAAATTCTCCAATTCATAACTCGCAACTTGTAGCTCACTCCCCTGTGAGCAAAATAGTTGCCTAACTGATGGCGAGAGTGCTCATCCTTCCTGCTCCATCACAGTGCAGGACTCCCCTGTATCACACTGGGAAGCATGAAAGCCTCAGCAGTCCGGCTGCTGTTGGATACATTTCAAAAGCCTTTTTGGTAAGCTGACATATTTATACCTTCCTAGAAAGAAAAGCTTAAATGTGTTCTGTGAAATGGAAGGAGATATGATCAGGCATCAGTTTGGAGACTACCTTTGCAGAACATAAATTCTTTTTGATATTTTGAAGATACTGGTTAATATAAAAGGTGATAAATGTAGTATAGTAAGAGCTCCTGTCACAGCGTATGTATTTTACCAGTGAAAATTCAAATTACCCGGAAGCAGGTCACAAACAGATGATTCTTCACACAATGTCTAATTAAGCTGTGTAATCACGCGATTATGTGAATACCAACGGTTTACAAGGTATTGTATGCTGTGCACTATGCCCAAGGAATCCCAATGGAAAGGTTGTGCAACCTTATGGAAGAGAAACAAAATCACCGAAGGCAACTAAATAGATAGAATTTAAATCTTTGAGGCTCTGAGCAATTGTTTACAAGGTGAGGGACAATCTGAAGAGCTTATCACATATGCTTGCCCTGGTCATATCCTGCTGCAACCATCTGCTTTCAGCCACCGATCGATGAATGGAGAAGGATATTGAACCTTGGTCTGAAACAGGGTTCAAAACATATCCAACAAAACCACAGAGAATATACAGCTGTCCACAACAGAAGAATTATTTCCCCCAAAACTATTTTTCTTCTTTCCCTGTCTTCAAGGCTCAACAGAGTGAAGGAAATAGAATAGAAAAAACACTGAAATAAAGGAGAAGAAGTGACAAAGCAGAGAAAAAAATCATGAGGCTCTTTGGGAAAAAGACAAACAGCTGAACAGGCTTCTGGACAGGTTTGGCTTCACGTCTACTTGTAGGAAAACATCAAAGGTGGAAAAGGCAAGCTAGAGTTAAGACAGTGTAATGGAGAATCAGCTATATCTGAAAGCAGGAATTTCTGTTCATTTTTATATGCATTTTCAGTTTATTCAAGTTTAATCTTTTCCATGCTTTATCTTCCCATTTTAAAAAATGCACAAAATCAGTCACGTCTGTCTCTTCCTGAATCTGTTTGCTAACAATTAGCACAAGTTTCCCGACAGAAAACTGTGCAAAGGTGCACAAAATTTTAGTGCCATTTATAGGAGTAGGTCCTGGAGTCAGAAAATAGGCAATTAGATTCCTGCTTTCTGGTGAGGATCACAGCTAAAGCTCTGCAGCCTGAGAACTTGGCTAAGGACACCGAGAAGCAGAACCAGAACTCTGGCCAGACTCCCAGGGTTTGAGACATTAAGAGAGCTGGTGGGTTGATCTTGCATCAATGTGATGAGTAACCGAGAAATGTTGCTTGGCCTGGTTTCTTCATGGCTCAGAGCCCACTTCAGGATGAAAACAGTCTCTACTATGGCAATAAAGAAACAAAATCTGAGAAGGAAGAGTACTCACCAAGCAGGCAATAAAAGTAAGGTTTTGTTCATCATAGAATCATTGAATAATTCATGCATAAACGGCCGTTTGGAGGTGACCTGGTTGTTCCTCACCACTACCACCAAAGCAGGGCCAACTTCAAAATTGATCCAACCTCAGGGATAGATCACATTGCTCAGGGTCTTCCCCCATCAAGGACTGAACATCTCCAAGGACAGGGATGCCAGAGCCTCACAGTTTCCATATTTGACTAACTTCATGGTGTGATTTTTTTTCTTTTCCTACATTGAATTGAAACTCCACATGTTCCCTCTGTGCGTCTCATCTTTATGCAACTCTGAGAAGAGTCTTGCTTCATCTTCTCTATGCCCTTACATTAGGTAACTGAAGATAGCAATTTGCCATTTCTCTTTATTCTCCAGCATACACTAACCTTTGCTCTTCTCCCTGGGATCATCTTCATGGTGTTCCACTGGACTTCAATTTGTCAATACTTTTCTTGTACAGGGAAGCCCAAAATGTCATGCTATGCTCCAGTGCTGAATAGAGGGGAATAAACACTCACCCTAATGGGCTGGCTACATTCTTGCTTATATGGACCAACATGTAGTTGGTTTTCTTGGTTGGTTTTCTTCATCAAGAGAGCACATGGCAACTCTTCTTCTATTTATTGTCCAGCAAGACACATAGATTTTTTTTCCCCATAAAACCACTTTCTATCCAGTTATAGCTCAGCGTACTCCCGCATGGAGCTATTCCACCCCAAGTGCAGGACTCTGCCTTTGTAGAACTTAGTGAAGTCTTTTTTCACCCATTTCTTCAGCCTGTCAAGATCCCTCTGCCTGACAGCCCTGCACTCCAGTTGACCACCACTCTCTACTCCAGTTTGATACATTAACAGTGAACAAGGATCAGGGATTTTGCTCTATTCTGGGAGGTTCTGGGGTTTTTTACTGTGGGAGATTTCCATCTGTTCCCTTTTCTGGGTGGAGGTGCATGTTAAAGGCAAAAATTATTATGATGTCAACTGTCTTTTTTTTTTTTTTTTTCCCCTGTTCTTTACAGATATCTAACAGCTTCCAACAGAATTTGTCTTCAGGGCAAACATGAAACCAAAACCCAGTTTATTCCACAAGATGGATGCATTCTGGATGTTTCCACTGCCATGTTCACTGCAGCTTTTTAAGAGAAGTAATCTCTTTCATGGAGGAAGGCAGCATCATATTCTGGACAAAGAATATTCAAACCACAGATCTATACTTTTACCAACATTTCATGTAAAATTATTGGGAAGAAGAGATTTGGAAAAGACTGAAATAAGATTCCCAACATATTTTAAGAGCAAGAAATACTGAATTACTCAAGGAATGAGCTTACAACTAGCAATAGTTTAATAAACAAGGTAAGAAACATGTGACTAGGACCCTGAGTCCATAAGCCAGACTCTGCTACAGGATTGTTTTTCAGGATGCAGTTTTTCAGGTGCATTATGCCCAAGGACCCCAAGCCCCAGTTGCTGCTGGATCACAGTGGGGATCCTCATCAGGGTAGAACACGGGCACTGAACGTTTATAATAATACTGAAGCCGTGAAAGCAGTTTTTCCACCACATGAGGATATTTTTCAGACAAATCATTTTTCTCTTCAGGATCATGGACAATATCAAATAGCCAAAGTCTCTTTGTTGGTGGATCAGGTGATTGAATCTTTGACTCATTGAACAAAGATGGTGGAGGGAACCAATGACTGCAGCCTGCAGAAACAGGAACAGACCAAGGGTTAATTCTCAGATACAGAGAAGCAGTGTGGAGATGCAGAGTTATACTGTAATCGACGAATTCACTAGGTCTCTTGACAAGTCACTGGCCAGTGACCGTTGCTGCATTCCTTAACTTTAGCCCAGCAGCAGAGATGCTTTAGTCCAGGGCTATGTATACAGGAGTCCTATTTATTCAAAAAAGCTGCACCATTGGGATTCAAACTTCCATGTCACTTAATCTCATGTAAATTAATTTCATGGACTGTCTTCTTGGAGTTGATGATCCTTATGGGTCCCTTCCAACTTGAGATATTCTGTGATTCTATGATAGCTTCTCAACTACTGTGAAAGTAATGTGTAGACAAAATATTTGCAAAATGAAAGAATATGTTGTTTGGATTTTAGAAGTGCCTCTTCTAGATTTTTGCATGTGATCAAAAACCCGAGAAGTTAGCAGAATAACTAAAAGAAATGAAAATACATTAAACAGAATTAAACTGTGTTTAGAGTGGGTGGGAGATATGACATACTATACAAAAAAGGAGTTAGTTCATTACCTGGATATCCAGTTAGTAACTTCCATTTTCCACGCCGGATTGCTGCATGCATGGATATATTGAAAAGTGTATCATCCCATGGAGAAGAATTGCTCTTCGGTAAAGATGTCCTGTTGTCAATGCCAAGACCTTAATGAAACAGTAAACTAAGTTAGGTACATTGCATATGCATGAAATAATTTTTTGAACTATGTTGGAAAATAAAGCAGTATCATCCATTTATTTTTATGTATTGGATAAAGAACTTGTCATATACATGTACAAAGATCTGTGCTACGATTCACTGGATGTATTTAACTCAGAACATGGACTGCACCCCTAAAAGTTACCAGTGGAAAATGTCACACCTGAGTCTGGATAACTGAACTCATTTTGTATACAGATATTATAGGTGTATCTCATACATCTAAATTAAGAATGTTCATGATTGGAATTGCTAAATTTGCTCATACAAGTGCCTGTGTCTTTCGCCAGTTAGGAATATAAGATTGAAAGATCTTCTGAATCAATGCTACTACTGTTAATTTTCTTTGGTCACTCCAGGGACGAAGTCCCAGGTCCTGACTTGTATCCACACGCAGAGAGCTGTCTTTCTGGACTGAGCTGGCTACATTCACACAGATCCACATCTGGCCAGTGAGGTACTTCTACGGCATGACACAGCGTGAAGCATGTTTTCATGCTGTCTTTGGTAGAGTCACATATGATGTAGTCCCATATCCAGATACTGCAGAAAACTCTAAAGTGTCAACTATGTGCAAATTCCCTCTTGAAACAAAACCTGAAGCTCCTTACAGGAGGGAGCTCCGAAAAAAATTAACATGCTTACACCAGGGATGATCAGGAGACCAGTTTTTTACTGAAATGAGGAGAGAGCAGACAGACACTCCAGGAGCACCCAGGCCATCTTGTGTATCAGCTTTCATAAACAAGATAGGATTTTAAGACATAAAATCTAAGAGTTTTATATTAACTGTATTAGCTGATACTTGTTCACTAAAAGACTACTAGAAGGCAACTCTATAATCAGACTAGAAACAAGGCATCAGGAGGTGGAGAGAAACCAATGTGGATTTTCTAGCACCTTTCAAGAAATTACTTTCAACAAGTTTAGGGAATTTGAAGGACTCAGCTGACACATTTTTGCCAATGAATGAAAAAGAATCCATGAGATGTACAATGATCATGTGAGATCCAAAATGAGAAGTAATGCTAAAGGTTTCTAAAAAAGAGTAAATTGTGTACATCACCAGTGGGGCAAATATACATCTGATAGAAGACAGCAGCAGAAAGTTTGGAAAGGAAATGCTGGACACAATTTATCCATTTTTTTATGAAGGTCCTGCTAAGTTTCTATTTTGCTACTGGGCTTCATGCTTTGAATCAGTTTTTTTTTGTTGTTTTTTGTTTTTGTTTTTGTTTTTTTTAACAAGCACTATTTCTGCATACCCAGGTTCCCTTTTTAAGTCAAACTTGTATAATGTTTGCAGATAAATAATGCTACAAAAGGGGACTACTTGTTTAGAGTACGCATACAGGGATTGGGGAAGACTCAGCTCATCTTGGATACTGAAGAACTGAGGCTGGTGCTAAAAAAACCCAAACCCCTAAAAAACCAAGGAAAACTTCATAAATAACCCCAGAACAACTTATTCTGGAAGATAAATCCCCACACAGCCATGTGATGTCCGTAGCAGATACGAAACAGTGTAAAGATCAGTATTGGTTACTTTTCAACATCATTATATTATGTATTATTCTCTCATACCGCTTGCTACTGGGAATATTCATGTTTGGCATGTGCACAATGAAAGACATTCAGCAGATGAAAAAACATAACCACGTTTTTTAAACGTTATGTCTCAAAATTACAATATTAAGGTTGGTCTAAAGGAAAAATTATGTGAGTCGGCATTTCTAATTTTAAGGGCTAGTGAAGAATATGCTTCTGATTGCTGAGCTACAGTATGTGAAGTCATAGTATTACACAAGACTAATTAAAATGAGCCAAACAAACAGCATGAAAGATTGTATTTTTAGATATACTTTACAAAATATCCTTAGAATGCCATGCATGAGACTTAAAATAAGATTCAAGAAGATAGAATAATTTTTAAAAATCCCTTATTTGGTCCAGGTAACAAAATCAAACTCCTAAAGTAGGAAGTGCTTTTACCAGAGATTGTAGTTGAAGTTGTTTGATGAAATAATATCTTTCCGCAAAATTTCTTGAAGAGATAAATTCCCTCATCTTGAGCTATTATAAACAGAACTCTGTCAGTCATGTTAATTCAACCGTTGCAAGCACTTGTCTTGTGCCAAAGAAATGTACTGTCCATTATTCAGACAAGTGCATTACTTCCCAGGCAGTACAGGTCAACTTTAATCAGACATAGCAGCCATGGAAAACAGACTGGTGCTTGTCTAAATGCTCTCTACACAGGATATTTATAGGACTGCCAGTTTATTACATTATATAGGCAACAAACACAGAATTAAGATAAATAAAAATATTGCTATGAGTTCTTTTCTTCTCATAATACAACTTTCACCTGAAACTCAGATGTTCCTCCCCCTGCGTTTACCTGACTTTCTCCTTTTTAGCCCAGCTGTTAAGTTTCTGCATCTGTGTCATTCTTCAGCTTCTGCTAGCATGGGTGAAATACAAAATGCCTGGGCAGTCTCCTCCATTGCTGTATGAATCTTACAGGCAATCCTTTTCCAATCTGGTAGACTAAAGAAGTCACACTCTTTTTGTTTCCTTTGCAGGATAAAATGTTCATTCCCATAGCATCTAAGCAGTTTTCCCTCTGCATCTGTTCTAGATTATTGGGGGCTTTTTCCTTTTTTTTTTTTTTTTTTTTTTCCATTATGGTTGGCCAGGCAGTAACAACAGCCCCATGGACTAACTCAGCAGTCAGGAGGACAAATGCCTTTTATTGATCTGTGTAGTCAAGTCTTCCTTCACATGCCCGCATGCTCTCTTTATACAGACTTATATATAAAAAATGTGATGCTTTTGCTCACGCAAAGCAGCTAGATATTTTGTTTTTCTGCCGATCACCAGTGTATCAGTGGCTAATGAAATACCAAAGCTTTGTTTTTATCTTAAAAGAAAAATCCCACAGCCTTTACCATTAATTTTCTTACGTTCAAACAGAAGCCACTGTTTCCTGAAGGCCAACTTCAGAGCCTCACCAGCTGCTATATTTCTTTTTAAGTAGTCTCTTGGGAAATGATACAACTTTTATTAGTTAAGAAAGCAGTGAAATTTCATTCAGATAGTTATTTTCAAATATTTAATGCTACAATGAATTGATCTATATATTTCAGTGTTTTGTTTGGAGTTGTAGGTCACCAAAAAGTATAGCTTTTATGCCTCTATAGAAAACAAAAGTCCTTCAGAAAATATTGCACTTGGAAAGTGACTTTAGAGTTTATATCATATTTTAAGACCATCCTTAGTCTTATGGCTTCAGGATCATATTTTAAAAGGAACTGAGGTGGCCAACTCTTACTTCCCGCAGAAGCAGTTTATTATCTAAATAATTTAAAAGCCTGGCCCTTTGCCCCTTATGAAAACTTCAGCTTAGTTCTTTTATTTCCATGATCATACATTGTCTCTATAAACAGATACATATTGCAAATTAGGATGAAAAAATCTAAATAATTTTCAATAGCTAATTTGTATCTTCAAGAGACCTGATTTTTCAGAAAGCTGATGTCATCAACTCTGAAAAACCTATGCAAGGTGCTCAGAACACATCAGTCAAAAATGTTAGCTGCACTTGCAAAAATAATTGCCATTTTAATAACTGAATATTCCACAGCATGCTCTTCAGGCAGGATGCTGAAAAATTTAATACTGGATAAGTATATAAATAGCATCCTGAATGATGACCAAAGAATACCTGGGACTTTCCTAAATAGTGAACAATATTTCAATGCATTAAGCCTTGCTAATGCAGAAACATAAGTACAACAAAAGGGAAAGTAATGAACATGGGGGGAAAAAAAGCCAATCCTCACTGTGTGTACCAAAAGAATGTACTCTGAACAAGCTATCAGTATTTAGGGAAGAGTTTGCACAGTTGTAATGAACAGGTAACGTCCAGCAGCAGCCATGAAAAGCAAACCAAATATTAGAAGTGGTGTGGCAAAGAATGGGACATTAGGCCACCACCTAGGTCCTTGTTGTGCCTCACATGTGCGGTTTTGGTCCCCATGTTACAAAAAACTGTACAAGGTACAAAGAGATGTGACAAGGAAGATTAAAGCTATGGAACAGCTTTTGTGTGAAGAATGACTAAATAAATTGGACTATTCATCCTCAAAGACAGGCAACTGATGAGGGACATGACAGAGGTCTATGAAATTGTGTAGCCATGACAAGCTGAATAAGGAAAAACGGGTCTTTCCTAATAGGGACATCAAATAAATTATGAAGGTGCATATTCAAAACAAATAACAGTATATACTTCCTTATCACAAACCAAACTCAAGCATGAAATTCCTTTCCATGGGATGCTGTGGATGCCTGAAGTTTATGGAGGCTGAGTGATAAAAAGGGTTCACAAAGTGGAAGAAAAATCCATCAAGGATTCTTATCCAAAATCATAACCTAAAGATTAGTAGCTCCATTAGCTGCACGCTGCGCAGGGCACACAGGAGAAGTATATTTATGTACTTACCCTCATACACTCCTTCCTACACAACTCCTACTCTTGGAAACAGAAAAATGTGCTAGAGAAATTTTTGGCCTGATCATACACAAGACATGTTATTAAATTATTTTCAGTTCAGGACAAGCCAAATATTTTGTTTACAACAGAAAACACTTTGTCAAAGCAGATTTATGCAACCCCTTTTATTATACTAATCTCTGTATGTACTGAACTGAAAGGGTGAAAATGTTGACAAAAGATAAGTATAGAATCATAGAATCATAGAGTATCTCAAGTTGGAAGGGACTCATAAGGATCATCAAGTCCAGGAGCTCGCAGAAGTACCTAAAACTAAACCATATGTAAGAGCGTCGTCCAGATGCTCCTTGAACTCTCACAGACTTGGTGCCGTGACCCCTTCCCTGGGAAGCCTGTCCCAGTGACCAGCCACCATGAAGAACCTTTTCCTAACGCCCACCTGAACTTCCCTGATGCAGCTTCATGCCGTCTCCTCGTGTCCTTTTGCTGGTCACCAGAGAGGACATCAGCACCTCCCCCTCCACTGCTCCCTGAGAGGAAGCAGTAGGCTGCCATGAGGTCACCTCTCAGCCTTCTCTTTTCCAAGCTGAGCCAACCAAGTGACCTCAGCCGCTCCTCCTTGACATTGAGGCCTTTCACCATCTTGGTCACCCTCTTCTACAAGTATATATGGTTCAGATTCAGGTTTAACTGCAGTTTTACAAATACTTAAACACCATGAGTCATTTCTAGCATGCCCTCTGGTTTACTTTCAGTGCTATTCTTAAAACGAGAGATAGCATAAAGAAATTAGAATATTAATGTGTACCAGCAATGGCTTCCAATGTACAGATCAGTCTGTATCAGTGCAGACACATCAGTTATTTGCTTATAGCTTGTTTTCCACTTATACCAGAATATAAATCAAGAGTAAAACAATTGAAATAACAGATTCACACCAGAGTATACTACTGTGATTGAGATCAGAATCTGATATCTACATTATGTCCTGTTTTAGTCATACAATTTTAAATTCACAAAAGACCCTAATATTCACAGAAACGTAAACATGACAGGTTTTGCCATACTGACTAAGTTATTGATATATTCAGTCCAGCAGTGTGTCCCAAGAAGTAATTAATAATTGATGATTCAAGGTAAAAGGGAGAAGATAAAGCAAAACTGCTTACTTTGCCCAGGAATCTGTTCTTTCACTTCACTTTCTAAGCATAAGGAAGATCATAAAAAATGCTGCAATGTGCTTAGCCCTGTTTCTTAGCTCCTAGCCTTTCAAAAGCAGCTCTTCTGACCTCATTCAGTATCCCATGTGTACTCCTGATTTAATACCTCATTTAGGTTAGGTAGGTAGCTCTTCCAAAGAAAAAACCCTGTCTTTCTATGTAGGTACAATAGCCTTCTGCTTAACTCATCAGTTCACCTATCCAACTGGGCAATGATTTCTGGGAGTAGAAAATAGGAAGAAACATTTCTTCACATTTCTTCCTTAGTGATCCATGTATGCTTGAGAATCAATCATCTATTCCTTGGCTCGTACAATCCTAGTTACCTAGCAGAAACTTGTGTAAAATAAAAAAATACTCATTTATCGGACCTCCATGAAAAAGACAAAAATCTCTGAAAATCCATTTATTTTCTGTTTAACTCAGTACCTTTTACATTCTCCTACTACTGCTGTACACCAAAATAACTTTGTTACCCTTTGATGCCTGCAATGCTACATGGTAACAAAACAAAACAAAAAAAACCAAAAACCCCCACAACCAAAAAACCAAAGGCTGATTGAGTTTTACTACATTTTACAGCTTTAGATGTCTTACCAGAAGCTTTCTACTTCTCTTCCTGTATGGGGTCTATAAATGCAACTTCTTTATTTTTCTAAGTCTCATGATGTTCCTGACAGGTTTTACTGATAATCTCTGAAATACTTAATATTCGGTCAAGAGCAAATACTAAAAAAAAAAAAACCAAAACAAAACCAACATTTTCCTACTGCAAGTAAAATAAAAAATTAGCAAAGACAACAATAAAAAGCCACTGCAACACAGTACTTGGCAGGTAGGCTGGAAAGTTCAGATCTGTCAGCATCTTGGTAAATATTTCCTATGATTTCTTTCAATCTTTTGCTTTGTACTTTGCAAAGGAAATATTTCAAATACCATATAACCATAACTTCTAAAAAAAAAAAAAAAGATAATCAACACCCATATTGTGTAAATTTGTGAGACTAAAAAAAGGTACAATCTGAACTTTTTTTAAAGAAAGGCTCTTTCTTTAGATCACCCTAAAAGATAAATTTGTGTAAATTTTTAATTAAATGTAATAAATTTCTTAAGCATATATTCATTTAACCTTCGCTGTCTAATTTTTAATGATAAGAAGGAAGAAGATACACTGCAAATTTTCAGTTGAGATTTTAAAAAGTGAATATATAGAATACATATTCTGTACCTATATATGTATGATGCTTGCACAGATCTAATAAGCATAGATCAATTACTCATTTCTCTAGCTCTCTTTCTTTCTTTCAATGAGACCAACTCAAGCAATTGGTAGAAACCTAAAATGTGGAGATATAAATAGAAAGTACATCTAAAAATAAAATATTCTGCCTTCAGTCTATGATTAAGATGATGAAAATGATCCATGTTGAGAAGTTTTCTTGGCTGGTAAGAGATCAAAGAGCACACAGTTCTTTCTAACATGCCATTTAGTGAGGTTTCAACCACAAAATTTAAAGGGTCCAAACCAACATTGCTTGAAGAACTCTGTATTTCTGTACTCTGTGGTCTACAATACTAGTGTGCAGTGAGGCAATGTTGGATACTGCAAAGCATTTTTGGAAAAAGGCAAAAGAACATTAATTTATTATCTATTTGGGAGACAGAACCCTGCCCAAAGAACTACTCTAAACAGCGTAAGTGTGTGTCAGATTGACTAAGTCTCTACAATTTTCCAACGTCCTATACAGTAAAAAACCCCATTCTTTTATAAGCAGCTGCATATAATCAGTGCCCTTTATAGGCAACAGAAGCAAATGAAGCTTCTACCTTTGCTTCTTCATCTGCAAAACAAGGCTGTTGGAAGCCATCTACCTTCTGCAGTATATTTCTCAAAGGAAAAAGTGTAAAATATCAGCATTGTCTATAGTTAAACTTCTGTTTATGATAATATAATGTAGCAGCAGATTCAGCCATGTGACAGGTAAAATATAATCACAAAAAACTGCAAACTTAATTTAAATCTGCTTGATGGAAAAGACTGAAAAACATGCATTAAGAATATCCACAAAACCCAGGGTGAATCGAGATTTTTAGATGGCTCACACTTTCCACTGCAAATTAGAAACACATCTGAAACAATAAACAGGTGTTACTGCTTTGCAGGTGTAAAGTACATTTAAGAGCTTTCAGCCAAAGCAGGAGTAATACTAACATTTCCCATAACACAAGTGTGTGGGCATATTACACTACCTGGGTGTCTAAATAGTTTGATACCTTGCAGTTCACAATGTATACTGCACAAAAGTAATCCCTAGATATATTCTTATTAGTAACTGAAAATTATTTCCGTGGTTCTCAAGAATTCTATTTCAGCATAAATTTTGTCTGGTTATGCAACACCCCCTATCACTTACTTGGTTACTCCACTCCAATATTCAAATAATACGCACTGGGATCCTTGTAGAACAAAAGTTTACCTCTTGTACCACATGGCCATCTAGGCCAAGAAAATAAGCAACCATGGCACAAGATGAAAGATCCTCACATGGACAGAAAAGCTTCTAATAAAACAGGAAACAAAAGATTTGATTTCACACTGGAAAGGCCATCATTGGATTCCTAAAGGAATTTATGCTTGGACCCATACTGTTGAACATACTCCAAATGACCCGGAAAAGGGACTGAACAGTGAGGTTACAAAGTCTTTGGATGATGATAAGTTATTTAAAGCTGACTGTAATGAACAACAGAAGGCCCTGAAGAGACTGGGTGAGTAGGTATTAAAACAGGTAATGATATTTAACATAGATACAGGTAGTGACGCATGTGTGAAATAATAATCCTAAATTCGGATATAAAATGATGGCGTGCATTGTCACCCATAACTGTCGAAGAGTAAAACCTTGGAATCATGACAGACTGAGCTGATGCTTTTTCAGAATTACGTCACCACTGGTCAAAATAAAACCTGAGTGCAAGGACTTATTAGAAAAGGACTCGTGAACAAAGCAAAAAGCTTTATGCAACTGGAAAACTGTAGTTCTTGTCTTCCCATCTCAAGAAGAATACAATATGACTGCAAAGATTCAGAAACGAGTTACAAAGTTGAGTGACATGCAAGCCCTCGTGAATGAAAATCCTCTGCTAGATGTACATTCTGCTTAATTAAATTTGTGTGTTCTGTGGAACTCCAGGGACAAAGTTGCTTCCATCCCCTGCATGACCAAAGGAAGGTTCTTCCCCTCTTGTATGCTGTTTAGCCAAATGCAATCAAATAATCAAAAACCGTATTGTTTTAATTGACAGGGGACATACCAATATAACACACAGACCAAACAGTTTGAATGCTTACTACTCAGACCTCATGAAGTATTTGAATGAAACCACATCATCTTGGTAGTTGTTAATATATTCAGCGCGACTACAGTCTCTACCTGACCTGACTAGACATCAAGTAAACGCTGAATGGCACTACTACACAGCACCTATCCACAGTGAGAAAAAAAAAAAAATCAAACAAGCTGAAACACTGGATAAAACATACATTCTTTACCCAGGAAATTCACCATCTGCTTTTGCCAGTAGCAGTCAGGTTCCAACTGGACTAGACTACATTCTCTGACGTAATATAATCTTGTCTACATCCTCAAATTCAATTACGTGCCATTTTTCTTCAATCACCAATGTTTCGTGGAAAACCTCCATGTTATTCTATCGCTTTGTAAGATCTTCTTTTAATAGCATCCCAGCTTGTGGCTATGTGAACAGCTAGAACATCTCTCTGAGCTGCTGGGCCCCTGCCATCCTCACTCCTGTGTGATAAAAGAGATTTCATTTTGTCAGTAGACACCACATAAGCCACAACTGACACTAAGAGAGCACTGCAATGAAGTTCTGCTTGGTTGCAAAGCCTCTTGGGAGGATTATTGGGAGCATTCGTGTTTTCAGACATATCCCTGCTAATGGGGGCTGGAGACACACACAGAGGGCTATAGCTGTAAAAAGAGGCACCCATCATGGGATTCTTTCAGTTATGCCCTCGGAACAAGGAACATAGCCATAACAAGGTTGCATCACATAGTAAGAAGGTAAGAAACTACTGATCTACAGAAACTAGTGCTTGCAGTGAAGCAGCTTTAGGGAAGGAAGTGGCACTCATGCTTATGTCCTAAAATAATACTGCATTTAAAATAATTCAACCTTACACATACAGATTGTCAACTCACTGAAGACTGACACTCCAGGATGACAGGTTTCAAAATGCAGTGTCACGTGGCAATGACAAGTCTCAAGGGGATAAATGAGAGGGTCAATTTTATTTTATTTCTTTAATTCTGCTGAGATTATACTCAAAAACATGAGTGATTAAAAAAAGTTTCTTTATTTCATAAAAATGTTTTTATTACAGAGGAGGGAAGAATTCTGTACGTCACTGAGTAGAATTCTGCTTAACAGTCGAACCAAACACTGAGAAAAAACCACTCAGGCTACTTCCACTAGAACTTAAAAGCAACAAACAATAACCGGTATTATTTTCACAGTAAGGTAATGCATTGCCTCCCTGCCTCTTCTGATCTGATTAGTAGTCTGTAAAAACCACAGAGGAGATCCCCTCTGGGACTTGTGAGCCAAAATCCACTTATATACGAAATGCAAACAGAAAGAGAGTATCTTCTAGCATGTTCATTATCATCTTTAAAATCAACGCACTATTTTAATCATCCAAGAAATCCCTGTTGTATTCACCAGCTTCTGTATATTGTCAGAAAAAATGGTTATGGTATCATTCTCCTACTGCTTCCATCAAAATAAATCAAAGATTTTGCACATCACAGCTTCTGTTCTAATGTAAATCATTTGACTCTATTATCAGGATTTAAAACATTTATTTATATGATGCCCATTAAATAGAAAAGAAAGAAAATTCAAGCAGATAAAAAAAATCACAGGTGATTACTTTTCTATCAATAGACACTGCAGACTCCTTTGAATCACCTCAGCCTGGTTTTGTGCTACAATACCAAAAGCAGAGGTAAAAAAAATCACAGACTTTCTTAAATATTATTGAACTTAACATAAAAATTACCCTCATGAAAGCAGTCTTCAACCTCCTAGAAATCTCACCACATGCATACACAAAAAACCTGCATGACTGGCACTGACCCTTACTAATGCTCAACTGTGGAACAGCGGGAGGTCTGTTCGGGCTTGAAAAAACCCACACTGAAACGAAGGGGAACCTTTCCACTAATTCCAGTGGGCTCTGGTTCAGACTGGTTAAGCATCAGCAGTAACAAACAATGAATTTACACCCTATTAACATCTCTTAATCAAGCAAACGAAGCTATATTCCCCTATCCATACAGTTCAG